ACTATTTAATAAAAAAATTTTTGTTTTATTATTCTAGATACTACAAAACTTTCTACAATCCGTACTTCGTTAAGAACCTTAAATTTAAAAAGCTCTGAGGTTCAATTTATCTCCATTGGCTATTCTAATAATATGTTATCCAATAATGAAGATACCCAGCATATCTACAACTGTTTCTTTCTGTATAAAGGTAAAACATTTTTCTCTATATAAGAAATCAGAATCCTATTTCTATATTCTTTAACTGTCACTAGATTGTCTTTAGTCAACATAGAATTCCTTAAAAGAGTTTAATCAAATCTTTATACTATTATTTAAGTCAACTTCCTGTGGCGTTTGTTAATCAATAGTTTGATAATTTATTAATTAATTTACTTTGCTTCAACTTTTTATATACTATATCAATCATACTCCCCAAAGGAGCAATAGTAGTTTTTGCAATGGTTTAAGCTTAAAGGACCAGTTGACCTAACTATCTAGGAGAATATTAATAGAGCCTCATAAATTCTTTTAAGTCGAGTAAAAGATGATCTATTTAAGGTTATCTCGATAAAATTTTAATTGCATTCCATAAAAAGAAGGCTCCATGCACATCTACCTTATTCATATCAGAAGCAAGTAAATTATTCTTTTTGAGATCGTTAGAGGTGTTACCCTGAGGAATTATTTTGTGGAATTTTATCTCGATGTTTTACTCTTATCCAATTCCTAATAGGAGTGTGAATATTTGTTAATTTGGTTAGGAAGTTTTTAATTTTTAGTATCAATTGTATTATCAACAATTATTGGTTTCCCCAAGAAAATTTAGATTCCAAGATGTGAAGAATAGTTTTTACCTCTTTAGAATTATGGGCCAAGCAGAAAGACAATCTCTACTTCTGTGATCCATCCTCCCTCTTTGATGATGAGAGTAACTTTGAAATTATTTCAATCCCACAGTCTTAGTTATTCTCATTGATCTGAAAGATTCGTCTAAATTCTCCAATTATCAAGACAATTCTTTTTTAATTAACAAAAGGATTCTTGAATTGAAAATTGATAATGTTGAATATTTCATTAAGTCTAAGCCATCCCTTAGAGGAGGAGGATGTGGAGAATCAAAAATTAATAGTGAAATGCATGCTACAATTCCTATAAATTATATTTAGAATATGAGATTAAATTCTCAATTGCTTGTTGATAAATGTAATTAACTTTCAGATAATTTTTCAAGTAATGAAATAATGATATCATTATAATAATTTTTTGATTATAGGTATTGGATTTGTGAAATTTGTAAAATGACAATCTAATTTTAACGATTTATGATATAGCATTAAGTTAATCATAACAGCTTATTTCAGTTATAGCAAGTTTTTTTAAGGGGATCAGGATTTCTTTGCTATTATGTATTGGAGTTGTTTAATGATTTATTATCGATAATATATACTTATTAGCTAAAAGATGAGAAACGCTTTCTTTACACTGATTTACATGGTGAATTATTATCAATGATAGATATTTTCAAAATGAATCTTGAAGTTCATAATTACTATTGGACAAATGGACTAGAGTTTTAGATTACTCTAATAAAAACAGTTTTACTAAATAGCAGGACAAAATCAAAGAATAAATATGATAAATTGAAATAAATCGGATCCTCTCTATTTTCTTCCTTGTTATAGTTTTCATTAAAAGAATAATTTTTAAATGCTATATTTGATTGTGCAAAAGATTTGCTTACTGCCAAGTACTATTAATTTTAGTTTCCTATTGAAACATATCAAATATATTACTTCTTCTTTTTATTAAAATCAAATATCATCAAAAATATCTAAGAAAATAAAGTTGAAAGTAATCTAATTAAAAATCTTTAGCAAGGATATGAAAAATATGTTATGAATTCAGAAAATTGGATAGTGCACTTTTGTTGGATAAATGCTATTTCAGATTTGATTTCAACTAGAAAAATTATATCAAAAACAGAATTCTTAAAAACCTTAGATGAAAATAAACAAAAATAGCTATGGAATGAATACATTGACTAAAATATTATTTAAGAATTATCTTATGATAAATTGCTTGTGTAAGTGAATAATAATATTTCATATGAGTCTATGAATTACGATTAAGAGTTAACATTAGATAAATTAGGTTATAAAAAGATGAAACAATTTTAAAATGATATTTTAAATCAATAATTTGCAAAAAAATAAAATTTCTTTAAATTGTATTTAGATTTTACATTTAAAAAATTGAAAAAACCAGAAGAATAAAGCAATATATAGTAACAACTTGAATTATTAAGTGTTGATGAATAAAGTATGAAACTTTAAAATTTATATTAAATGTTAGAAAAAATCTTAAGAATCTTCGAACAATATAGTAAATGTTTAGTAAACTCAACTTCAATCCCTTCTCAATAAGTTGAAACAAAAACTTAGGACAATTAATAGGATCTAGCTTAAGATTAATAAGGAGATATTTAATAATTAGATGTAAGTCTTTTCAAACTTTCATATATACTTTATGAAATAGATATCACTATGATTATTGAGAAAAAGAGAATAGAAATCTGTTTAGAATAAGCTAAATTGGATTAAAGTTAAAATGAAAAAGATAATAAAAAAAAGAATAAAGATAATAAAGAAAAGGAGGAGAAATAATTAAATTAGCTTGAAACTATTTATAAGGATTGGACAACAAAATATAATGAAATATTTAATCTCATCTCAAAACACAAAGGATTTCACTTAAAGTTTTCGAAAATTGAAAAAATGTAATCCTAAGAATAATAAATTTAAATTCAAGAAAATGATTTAAGTGTATTTATTAGAGATATTTAAATTTCAATAAAACGGTTTTTATAAGAATTTAGTTTATAGTAATAATCGTTATAAAACTTTTTGGAGCTAAACAATAAGCAAATAAAAATAATAGATGAAGAATAATTAGATCAAAAACTGAATGAATTCTTCCTAGATTTTATTGAAAGGGATAATTTATTATTTATAGATGATGAATACCATAAAAAAATTATGGAAAGTCTCATTCAATAAAATTTTTAAAAGCTTGAAGATATAAATAAATTTGATTCTAATCTTAAAAACTATATCAAAATGAGCAAAATTTTAAAAGGGTAAATTATGTAAACAGTTTACATTTTTTCCAAATTGGAATTGAATCTCAAATCTGTCTTAGGAACTAAAAATTTTAAAGAACATAAATCTATAAGTGAATTGATAAAATTACAAGAAAAAGAAATTGAACTATTTATTTCTTAAGATCTTAAAGATTAAAGTAATATTTCGAAAATACTTTAATACATTTTAAGGTTAAGAGATAAAATAATAGATAATTTTGCCTAATAATAAAATACATTATTTAGCTCAGCATTAATTCTGTAAACAGAACTTTTTAATTCAGTTTATAATTTCAATTTATCCTCTGAATAAGATTTCGAATAATTCAAGAAGGAGATATAGGACAAATACTAATAATATAAAAATATTGAGTAATAAAATAATGATCAAAATGAGAATTCTCATAAACAAATTTAGAAAGTATAAATTGAATAAAATGAGCAATCAAAACTTCTTTCTAAAAAAATAACAGAATTGAATAAATAAATAATTGTTATTCACAATATAATTGATAAAATGGAAATATTATCTTAATATATTCACTAAAATTGTTCTAGTATCATATATTTAAATGAAGTCAATTTTCCAGAATCTTTATTCTTAAATATCAAAAATATTATTAAAGTATAAATAAATAAACTAGAATTAGTTAACTTATTACAAGAATTTATAAAGGGTGTGTAGGAGAAAAAGTAATCTTAGAGAAATCAAATTTAAAATAAAATAAATTTTTCATTAAAAGATTTTGCCATTATGTTTTGCTATAATAGTTTATCTTCAGATATCTTAGTTAAGATAGATAAAAACTATTAAGATATACTAGATAATTTACAACAAGAAGTGATTGTGGAAAGAAAATTCTATGATTTAAGCAAAGATTACATTGTTCGTGAATGCTTCCTCTTTCACATGATAAAAATTTAATCTTAAGTCCCTGAAAAAAAAATATTATAATTTTGTCAAGAATATATTTAACAAATATGGCTGAAAGAAAAAGATAAATCAGTTAGAGCTTTACTAAAAAATAAAGAGATGGTGGAAATGTAAAAATAACTGTTCTCTCATGATCTTAAAACTTTTTCTGCAAGCATTAAACAAGAGATGAATTAAAGAATGTAGGAAATGAAAGCAATTGAATCAGAAATTAGATTTGAAGGCAATCTATCAAAGCGAGATGAATTGTCAAAAAAATTAACTAATCAATACGAAGAATTTGAGGAATTTCTAGAAAGTATTTCTGAAATGTAGTAGCAATTGGATATTACTTTGATATTTTTAAAGGAGCTACAAAAAAATATGAAATAAATTAAAAAGTAAATAAATTATCTATAGGAATCAATAAATGAGATTGGAAATGATGTAAGAAAATTAAGAGGTAAAAAATATGAAGAGTTATTTGAAATTAGAAAAGAAAAAGTAAAATCATAAGCCTATCTTCTAGAACTTGATTCTATATATATTCCATTAAATACATAGGAAATCAATCCTTTTACAGGATAAATATAAAAGACTTCTTCAGGTAAAGATTCTTCTGAATTACTTATTGAGGATTAAAAAGAAAACAAATAAGCAGAAAGGGAAGGAGAAGTCAACTAATTTATTTATGAAGAGGCGAATAAAGATGTTATGCTAATCAAAGGTTNAAAACCATTAAAGATTGTTTAATTGCTGATTTTAGTTTGGATCAAATTTATCTAATTTATAGTAATTAAACCGCAGACATTTACTTGATTGATATCTAAATAACCAATTAATATGATAGAGAAACTATAAAAGTGAAATTAAATAATACTTCTTGTTAAACTTTAAATTTTCTAAAATTGAATTCAGAAAAGTCAATATTATTTTCAGGAAACAAGGAATAGATGTTCTTTTGGAAATTTAGTAAGGAAGAAGATCAGGCTTAATTATTGCTAAGAATATTGGAAAATAACCAATGCATCAGTTATTTTGATTAACTCATGATAAATTATAAATTAGATTTTCGGACGCTGGTGAAAAAAAAACTGAAATCATACCTTATTTACTACTTTAGGAGATAATCAGAAAAATAGACACAAAATTTATATGTGGATGAAAATTTCATTTTTTACACTGTAGCTTTTCTTTAGATTTTTCATTCTGTGTTACTGCAGGTAAGGTGAAAAAGCCATAAGAAGATTTAAAAGGAGCAACAATAAAAAAAAAAGATGGAGAAGTTATATTACAACCAAAAATAAAAGGAGAAGTTTTATGTTTTGAATATTTACTCATATGGAATATTAGAACCTTACAAAAAAGCCAAAAATTTATCAGAACATTAAAAATCCTTCACACTTTGCAGTATTTTTCATTAAAAATAATTATGGTGTTAGGTAATGAATAGAATATCGAAATTATTTATTTCCAAAACTTGGTGCCGTCAAAGTAATAGCAACTGTTAATAATAACAATAGAATTTATAATTTAATAGTCTCCAAAGATAAAAAATTGTTTATATCGTTATATGAACTTGGAATTTTCGAACTTTGGAATATCAGTCAACTAAGTCAAATACTCTATATCGAGTGATTTACTTTGGAAAATATAAAAACGATTATAGACTACAAAGAATCTTTGTTATAGCCTTTTTAAAAGAGAAGTTTAATAAACATAATATTTAGAATAACTGAATCTTACAAAGTATTAAGCAGTCAAGTTCTTTTATTCATTTTCTTGTTTTCAAACTCTTTCAATTATTCATAAGTAAACTACTATTGCATTTGGAGGATCTTATGGAATTATAATCATATCAACAAAAACATATTCAATAATTCAATAATTATGAAAATATTTGAGTAGCTTTTGCAAATAATAGTAATCTTTTAGCAGAAGCATAAGATTGCAATATCTATTTAATTTAAGTAGTAGTTGACCCCTTAGATTTCAAGATTATTAAAGAATTAGAAGGACATAAAGATAAATTATGTGTTTATCGATCTTATACAATAACTCTACGATTGTATCAGGTTCAAAGGATAAAACTATAAGATTTTGGAGCATTAAAGAATTAACTAGTAATTACATTCTTAAAGGATTTACTGAAAAAATTTCAGATACATCATTATCTCCTAATTGTATAGATATGGCAGCAGCTTTAGAATATGGATCAATCAAACTCTAAAAAACTTTAATTTTCAAAAGGTGTTCATGAGGTATTATTTAAGTAATGGATAATTCTAATTTAATTGTATTCATTGACTGAGTTAGTACCAATAATTAAAATTTAATATTAAATTGATTTGTTATTATTGTAATTAAGAAATATGAATTAAATTATTCTTTATTTTTTTATTCTCATTTTATTTATATGTTATATTTATTATTATTATTATTATTA